GATTGCTGCAGCAAGTGCAGCCGGTGAAGGCGGCTTTGGTGGTCTGGGCTATCTTGTTCTGGCATCCGCCTTTGCCGGCCTTGTCAGCGCCTATGTCTGGGGCCGGCTGGCTGACCGGTCCAGCCGCAAGGTTCTGCTTGTTGCCTCGCTCGTATCGATGCTGGTGTTGGCGCTCGCCGCCTGGTTTTCGCTCACTGGGTGGCTGACGGCGCCCATGGTGCTTCCGGTTTTGCTGTTCGGTATCATGATCGCCTACCAGGGCGTCCGGCTCGGACGGTCCACACATCTGGTGGATATGGCAACCACCGACACAAGAGCGGCTTATACCGCCCTGTCCAACACGATCATCGGCGTCGTGCTGTTCGCAGGCGGGCTTTTCAGCTTTATGGCAGAGTTTTTCGGCGTGTCCGTCGTTCTGATCACAATGGCAGTGATGTGTGCCGCAGCAATCCCCATGGCTCTCGGCCTGGATGAGGTTCAAGCGGAGTAGAGCATCGGTCAAGTGGGAGGACTATTTTGTATTTCTTTACGACAAATAGATGCTGCGCAGACGTAAACGCACAGGATCGACCATCTCCATCTTCGGCCACGTCTGCATTAAGTCTAAGATCCTCCAGCAAGCAGGAAGTAGTTGAACCAAACCAAAAGGGAAACGAGAAACGCACAAAACGCGTAGGATCCGAGCGTTCGGAAGGCCAGCTTGGTCGCTTCGACGTTGTCAGGTCTCTGGTTTCCTTCATATCGGGGGGCGGACTGCGCACACGTATCGGGATGCTTGCGAACCGCTTCGAAAATGGTCCGTATTGCGAATAAAACAAGCATCGCGGCTATGGAATAGGCGAAAAACGATAACCATCCTGAGAAATTTGGCTGGAGATCATCGCCCCTCCAGGCGGTAAACAGATCACCTGATACCCTCCCGCTCTGCCCCATCCAAATCAGTATTTTAGGTGCGAAATAGATCGATAGGGTAATCAGACCCGTTGCCGTAAACCAGCCAGTGAAAACCGCGGCAACCCATCCCTGATAAATACGGTCTACATCATCCGGTTGCGAAACTAGACGCGCGAGTCCGCCAAGGGCAAATAGTGCCAACAAAACGGTGAGTCCAATCGCGGTGGCGGCTGCTCCAAAGCTGAAGTCGGTGCGTGGTGCAAGATTGGCAAAGCAAAACTGCAGCGGTACCATGACGATCAGGACGCCGGCCAAAACATCGTCAAATTTTGTTATAGTCTTTTCTCGCTTAGACACAGGTAGCTTTGCCTCTGAAACCATATCCCAAAAGTGTGGAATAGAATCCATTATATCCTTTAAGAATTGATTGATCATAAATCTTTATTCCAGCGCAATAGATAGCGTATTTTTGCTTTCTTGCTCTTGGATAAATTGCCGCGTTTTGACTGCGTCTGCCATCTCTCGACTACCAACCAGCTGGTTGTCGGATCCCAGTCAGGGTTGCCGAAAAAGTTGAGAAAGCCCTTGTGCGTGGATTGTGGCTTCTCAATGAAAAAGCAACCCTTCTTTCGGGACTTAGCCTTTTCGACCCAAATCAGGCTGGTTTCAAGAGAACTGTATTGATTTTGAAGTCTTTGATGATTTTCAGTGGGTTCAGCGCCATTTGCGAGCGCTGATGTCATAACGTTGATGCGATTAGCCAGTGCCACGCCCAAGTTAACGTCCTCAAAGCTGAACATTTCCGAAATGACGTCCGCATTCACGGTGCCGGTAGTACGTCCAGCTACAGCCTGTTCGCCCCATCCATCGCTCCAGATGCATGTCGACTTATTATCATGTGTGGTCACCTTGAAATGGAATCGTTTTCGGAGTCGATTGGAGAAATTTTGGTCACGGGACCGGTACTGTTTGCCGTGGTGTTTGACATACAAATCCAGCGTGACCATTTCCTTTCCGTCTGGAATACTAACCAGATTCAGTTTGTTTTTGCAGATATTTGGAAACTTCGTCCTGCGAACCAGAACCTTGTTGGCGAGGTTAGAGTTCGCCACGGTCTGCGTCTTGGCCACGACAACATCAGTTCCGGGTCCTGAAGGGTTGAAGCGGCTTTTCGTGTTGAACACGTAGAGAAAATAATCGAGCTTTTTGTAGTTGATTTGGTTTTGGCTTTTCGATTTCAAGCGCTTGATATTCCCGGCTTGAAGAACGGCATAGAGACCGTTTTTTGATTGATCCTCGACCAGCGCCTGGCAAATGTTGTCCCTCGGCGAAGCCAAGGCCGTTGAGCAAATAAGCGACAACACCGCAGCGATACGGATGCACGAAATCATGTTGCGATGCTTTCCAATAATCTTATTGCGGGGATAGTTATGATATAATTGCATATTCATACTGTCAAATGACTGGGTCGACAGCACGACTTTACAGTTGTTTAAGATATTTGGTGGGGCCAACAGATCGCGGTTTGGTTACTGAATTAGTCCGAGGTAAAGCTTATTCAATCTTTCCCAAGTGAGCCCCGTTGTGACTTATTTATCGTCCATAGCGGAGTCTGGTAGGGTTCGTTTTACCACGATCGCCCTTCACTGGCCCGACAGCGCAAGATGCTGTAACCCCAGCATCGTTGCTCCGAATTGATACTTCTCGCCCATTTCCAGTGTTTCCGTTAGATCTTATCGGGTTCCCCTCCACTTTTAGGCAGACACGTTCAAAAAAATAACACCATCTTTTCTTCCCCACGCCCGAAATCCCATGCCACACTCGTCGTGTTCCCGCTGCCGGATGGAACGCGAACGTGTTGGTCCAGGCGGGAGGAAGGCCTTTCGGGATTTGCCGTAACGTGCGGCAAGGCCCGGGAGGAGGCGGAGGCCATCGGGGTTCCGCTGGCGGGCGGGTCTCGTTCGGGACCCGTGCAAAGCCAGCCACCGGGCGGCTCCGGTTCCGTGATCGCCGAAAGGCGCAAGCGCGGAGCAGAAAGGAGCGGTGCGGGCCTGTGGCGGACATGTGAGGTCTTTTGATCTTCAGAGTCCGTGCCGGTTCTCCGAAACCCACTCGCGCGGTCAGTCCAGACCGTGACCGGAGCAATCCGGGCGGGGAACTGGTGGATCAACCAGTCCCGTGACTGCAAGGTGCCGCCTGTCGGATGCGGACATCATCCGGCGATACTCGGGCCGTGCGCAGGTTGCGCCACCCTATACTCACTTTTCCAGAGGCAATGCCCGCGTGCGGCCCTCCGGACTTGCAGCTCATCCCCCGGCGGCCCTGTCGCGCGGCAGCGGTTCCGTCTGTCTTGTTTATTCGGTTCAGCATCGACGCAGAAATTCCGGATGCCGGCCTCGACGGTTCAGGCAATCGCAATCACCTCGAGCTCATGCTCGCCAGTCTCCACCACATCGCCGACAGCCTTGCCCATCAGGGCGCGTGCAACGGGAGAGGCGAAGGAGATCGTGCCGCTCCTGGGGTCTGCTTCATCCTCGCCGACAATGCGGTAGGTCTGCGCTGGTTTGTCATCGCGGCTGTACGTGACGGTCGAGCCGAAGGCGACGGTCTCGTGCGACGTGGGGTCGGGCATGATCTGGGCGGTGCGAACCCGCTCCGCGAAATAGCGGGCATCGCGCAACGGACCCGCCTGCTGACGGCGTTTCTCGTTAACGTCATCGATGCTGTTGGCCGCCTCGAACTCGCCCCGGGCCTTGTCAAGTTCGGCCTGCAGCTGCTTCAGTCCGGTCGGTGTCACCAGGTTGGGATGGGGGGAAATCGGCCGGTCGGGCAGCTGGGTTTCGGCTGCGGTCTCGGAACTCTCTTCCTTGGTGAAGGCGACGCTCACGGCAAGTCTCCGTCTGTGCATGGCCGGCGCGTGGAGCCGAATGTTCCGGGACGCCGAGCATAGGTGGAAATCCGGCCGGCTGGCAATGCCGGCTCGTGTGCCGTCAACGCGGTGGGAGCGGTCTGGTTCCGGGGTGGTGGCGCACCACGAAGTGGTCAGGTTTGCGGGGCTGCGGCCCGGATCATCTGCACGCCGTCAATCTTGAAGCTACCGTCAGGTTGGCGTTCGAGCGAGTAGAGCGCGGTCCAGTCCTGTCCGCCGGGACCCTGGATGATGACTTCCTGAACGACGCTGGTGCCATCAGCCGCGATCTTCGAACGGCCGAAGGCAAAATTGCCCGGACGATAAACCGGCTGGTAGCCGCGTTTGACCATGTCGAAAAAGCGGGTCTGGTCAGGATAGAGCTGCTTGATCGAGGGGGCTGCGAATGAATAGGCGGTCGACGCATCGTCGTTGAGGAACGCAGTGATCTGGCTCTCGATGACGCTCTGGGCTGTTGCCGCGTCATTGGCACGCGCGGGCGCGAGAGTGGTCAGCACCGCCATGAGCGATGCCGCGAGAATGGATAGGAATGTGGTCGGGTGGGTCATGCAAGGGCCTCCTGCCTATCAAGGTAGGACGGTCCGGCCGAATGGAAAGTTTCAGGCCGTGATGAAATCTCACCACGACCTGATGTGTCACTTTAAGAAAGACAAATTATCGAGTCTAAACATAAGTTTAGAAAGAAATTCTAATGTATCATCTCAAACAGCGGTGTAGCCTATGGCACGATCATCACCTTGCCGTCACCGATCCTGAGGGCTTCGGGCAGGTCGCGCATCACATCGGCGAGCCTGACGGTAGCCACCACTTCCGTGCTCCAGGCACCTGAGATGAAGCGGTTCTGCACTGCGCGCAGCGTCTTCAGCTTGGTGAGGATCGACGCCTGCCGGAACCAGTTCATCAGCCAGTAGCCCTCGATCTTCTTGTTCATGAAAATCAGCTGGCCGGGCTCCTTCAGCGCCGGCGCCTCGGTATCGAGCTTGCCGTAGACGATCCAGCGCGCACGCGTCGGCATGGCGGTGAAGATGTCGGCCGACAGCTGGTTGGCCACCGCATCGAGCAACACGCGCGGCTTCTCCGATTTCATCAGCGCGGCAAGCCTTGTAGCGAACTCCGGATCGGACTGGACCAGCACATGCTTCGCCCCGAGCTCCCTGAGATGAGCTGCCTGGCTCTCCTTGCGGATGACGGCGATCATGGCATAGCCATTGTCGCGCGAAAGCCCCGCCATCAGCTTGCCGAGCTGGGAGAAGGCGGCGGTGAAGACAAAGCTCTTGGAGCCGGAGCCCTTGACGATGTCGAACATGGTCCAGGCTGTCACCGGATTGACCACGTGCCCCGCCGCATCCTCGTCGCGCATGGCCGGCTTGACCACGACACACATCGCCGCTTCGACGACGATGTAGTCTGCCCAGGCGCCGGACCCATTGACGCCGCCGACAAAGGCCACCCGCTTGCCCTTGAGATACTTCGCATAAAATCCCTTGCCGTCGACCACATCGCCAACGCCTTCAAACCCTGCAGCGACCCCCTTGATGCGGGGCTGGCCGTATTCGCCCTTGATGAAATAGAGGTCGGACGGATTGATGGAGGCCATCCGCACCTTGATGAGCACCTGACCGGGGCCGGGCGTGGGGACGGGCAGCGCGCCATATTCGAGATAAGGCTCCAGAGTTTCTATTGCAGCTCCGGTGCGGGTGTTGCCAAATCCGTCACCCTTGAGGATCAGGGCATTCATGCTGGAAGGCAAAGTCATGGATTATCCTTACAGAGATCTGGCTCACGGTGTGAGAATCGTCTTGCCGATGGCGCCACGATCGAGAATGCGTTGAAGCGCAATCGCGGCTTCCGACAAGGGGCGCTGTTCGTCAATCCGCGTCTTGATGCGGCCTTCGGAATGCCAGGCAAACAATTCGCGGTTGTTGGCGGCGTAGACCTCGGGTTCCTTGGCAACGAAGGCTCCCCAGAACACGCCGACCAGCGAATATTCCTTCAACAGCACCAGATTGACCGGCAGCTTGGGAATTTCGCCCGAGGCAAAGCCGATCACCAGCAGACGCCCATTGCGGGCCATGGCACGTGCCGCGACATCGAAGGCTGCACCGCCGACGGGATCGAAGCCGACATCGACGCCGCCCGGCGCATGCTGCTTGAGCGCCTCGCGCAAACCGTCATAGGGCAGGGCGATGTCCGCTCCCGCCTCAAGACAGGCCTGCTGCTTTTCCTCGCTCGAAGCCACGGCGATGACGCGGGCACCCATGGCCTTGCCGATCGAGATGGCAGCGAGACCGGTGGAACCGGCAGCGCCCAGCACCAGCAGGGTTTCGCCCGGCTGCAGATTTGCACGCTGCCTGAGCGCGTGATGCGAGGTTCCCCAGGCGCACATCAGCGCGCAGGCATCGGCGAAGTTCATGCTGTCGGGGATCGGGAACGCCCGGTTGGCCGGCGCCAGAACCTTCTCCGCATAGCCGCCATTAGTGAGCATCACCACCGCGCGGTCGCCGGGTTTGAGATGGGTGACGTTGCCACCCACCGCCTCGACAATGCCGCCGGCCTCCATGCCGGGGACAAACGGCGTCTCGGGCTTCATCTGGTAAAGTCCCTGGACCAGAAGGCCGTCGGGGTAATTCAGACCAATGGCTTCTGAGCGGAGCACGATCTCATCGGGACCGGGCTGCGGATCCGGCATGTCCCGGTATTCGAGATTGGAGAGCGGGCCGTATTCGGGGCAGACAATCGCCTTCATGGATTACACCTTTTCCTGCGTGTAGCGTTTGAGCTCGGTGCGCGCCACCTGGCGGCGGTGGACGGCATCCGGGCCATCGGCGAGCCGCAAGGTGCGCAGATGGGTCCAGCTGCGGGCCAGCGGTGTATCTTGCGAAATCCCCTGCGCGCCGAACATCTGCACCGCTTCGTCGGTAACCTTCAGCGCCACCCGGGGCGCCACCACCTTGATCTGGCTGATCCAGGGGGCGGCGGCACGGCCATCGCCCTGATCCATCATCCAGGCAGCCTTGAGGCAGAGAAGGCGGGCCTGTTCAATTTCCATGCGGCATTCGGCGATGATGTCGTAATTGGCGCCAAGCTGGG